GGTCATTGATTTGAGTACCGCACCGCAAGAAATTATACCTGGTCAAGAAATGCAGCAAAGCTTGCCACCATTGAATACAAACATTCATCGCGCCAACTCGCTAATTCTTACTCCAAGTCAACAGCGAGCTATGGAAAGTTTAACAAATCTGGAGATCCCATCTCCTGGTGGCTTCTTTGCATCTTTGGGCCATGGCGCAAGACATACCTGGCACCTTGTACCCATCACGCCAGACGAACCTCTTCCGCCTTCGTCAACTACCGCCGAAAACTTTTACAACACTCCGTGGGCACCTCATCCAGTTGAGCGTATCATCGAACTTCCAGAGCCCGCTGATACTGATGGGCCACCTACTGCTAAATTCATTAGACCCGAGATCCGCCATGACAATTCTGATGAAACAATTGTTCCTGTCAGCTCTCCACCACCAAACAAAACTTATTTTGAGGAGGAAATTGTAGCTGACGAGATCTTAACGGATTACGCACCTGGATACATCAACAAGCTTGAGGATACTGCGAATGCCAATGTTGACCGCACAGCACTGTGGCTTGCAGCTCAGCATGACTACCTCTCGGAACTCATCAATCCTACAGAGGCTCGTGATGATGAAGTTGCCTTGTTGAAGCGAGCTGTCAGTGTAAGACTTTCAGCAGCAGAAATGAATATCTCGCCAATTGAGCCTGAACAACTACCTATGCAGCGTAAAAAGACCGTTCGATTTTCCACAGACCCAATCAATCATGATGTCTCCACTCCAGAAGCTGCTACTGCTACACTTGCCACACTAGCTGGAAATGCCTGTCCGCTACCCAAAGCCCTTCCTCAAGAGTCTACATATCATCGTGCCTTCAAACGCTCAGTTCGCAAAACTCGTCGCCGTGATGTCTTCGTGCATCGTGTGCCCAGGTTTGAAGCTATCCAATCTCAACGTGTCTCCTTCCCAGCAGCTCATCGTGCCAGTCTTCTCGGTAAATACCAATTGAGCGTTCTTCCAATGTCCCCAAAGCGCCGCATGTCTTCCAACGTGGCTCGTGGCGATGATACCCCATTTGAAGATCCCGAAAAGCTCCAGCATGACAAAGAAGCCGAAGCTCTTGAGCAAATGTCACCTGCAGCCTGGAACGTGACAGCAACTAAAATGCTTAACGGGGGTCGCTTGATTGCAGCCCCGGTTGCCAAGCGTCTTGCGAGACTGTCCTCGATGGGCCCCACCATCAACGGTACCCCTCGAGACCGTGCTCGCATTCTCGATCTGGGTGGACAAGCCACATGCGATTGGGCATGGCATTGTGCTACTGAATATCCCAACTGCAAAGTCTACACTGTAACCACCAAGGCTCTACGTCAACTCTCAAACTCCAACATTCGCGGTCCTAAGAATCTTCGCCAGGTAGCTGTAGAGCGTCTCGTTAAGCTTCCATGGAAAGACAACCAATTCGATCTCGTCTCCGCTCGCGAAATCTACATGATTCTCAAAGAGCGCGGTGAGAACGGTGAAGATGAATGGGAAGCTTGTCTCAATGAATGCATGCGCATTCTTAAGCCAGGCGGATATCTTGACTTCTCCATCATGGACTCCGATATCGTCAACGCGGGTCCAATGGGTTTGGCCAAAAGTGTTGAGTTTGGATTCAATCTCAAAACCCTCGGTTACGATCCATCTCCCACCAAACTTTGGCTTGGTCGTCTCAAACGCGCGGGTTTCGTAGGTATCAAACGCGCGTGGGTATTTTTGCCCATGGGTGCAGATCCTGAGCATAGATTGGATGTGGAGAGAAACAGTGTAGGTGATCCATTGGAAATGGAAGCGATGGTTAGCGGGAGCACAGGAGATGCAGCATGTGTTACTGGATTGGTCGGTGGCTGGGCTTGGGAGAAATGGTTGTTGAGATGTAGAGTTCAGACAGTGGGTGATGAGGGCACGTTGGAGGGTGTACAAAATCTCATTGAAGAGGGTAGAGCTTGTGGTGCTGGATGGAGAACTGTGAATGGATGGGCTAGAAAGCCAATGGGAAAGATGTAGAGTCAGCTACTTTCAGTGGGAAAGGACGTGCAAATTGGTTTCTTTAGATTTTTTGGTTTGATTTGGTTGTTTTGGTGACGGTGATAAGGGCATGATGATGAGGATTATGATGGGATGAGTAAATGGCTGATTTCTTTTGTTGGTTCGTGGATAGTAGTTGGCTGGATGGTTGACGAGTGATGAGTCTTTCGGTAGTGGGGGCTGGCTGAAGGGGCATTTGGTTGAGGTTGTAAATTATCTTTCTCTTGATGTAGCAATCCATGTGTTTTAAACCCATATTATTCTCTCGTTATATCGTGAATGTAGGTTCCACGCTTTTTCGTATTCGTTCTCAATGCATGGGATACGAAAGTTCGCAAAAAGAGGATTTTGACACTTGAAATTCGTCGTGGCATCTTCTCCTTTGACAAATCTTTGTAGCCCGGACAGACGATTCAAGCTTGATAACAATAAAATTGTTACATTTGTTATTTTTAAAGAAGAAGAAGAAGTATGAATAACATAAATGGAACAGACTGTGAATAGACCTCATTTTTCGACTATATTATACTTCTAGTTTGACTTGTGTATTTCATTCCAGTACAGCTTCCCATCCTCATTCAATACTCCAAACATCTAGTTCTTAATCTAAATCTTCCATTACACATTCAAGACCCAGATTACAATCAGCAAGATGAAGTGGACACCAGTTTTGATTGACTGGAATACCAGCGATAGAAGTCAAATGGATTATACCCAAGACACCATCCAACCAGTAAACACATCAGCCAACACAGAAGGTGTTTCTAATGGAGAATCTGACCCTGGTATGAGTGCCGAAATAGATTCGGTAGAGAGGTTAGTGATGTTTGGTAAATTGATTTCTTTAGCTCATAAAGAATGCATGGAGATAGAAACTGATCTTAAACTAGTCCCAGAATACACCAATTTTGAGCACTATTTAGCATATAAATACAAGGTTTCCACTCCTGGCACTCATTGCTATTGCAATCGCTGCATCGGATTCTTGGAAATGGCCCACTTCAACGTTATCAAGACCCGGAATATATTGTACAACAAGCTTGTTACTTTAGCAAAGAATAATTTGAGGTATCGCGAGAGATACTCAATGCTTTACCACCAAATGACTGGCTTCAGTGTCAAGTTCTCGGATATGCCTTTTGATTTGCCAATCATTGATAATTCTTGCTACGATTACCAACGACCCAGCCCTCTGGTTATGGGAATCTGCCACTTTCGTCGTCGTTATGAACAATTGGAGACTTGCCATGTCAAAACTGTTCAGACTAAGAATACTTTACGTCAACAAATCGATGTCATGACTGCCATGAATGAAGACTTACTTGATAAATGCGATCAGTTGTTCGCGATTATGCAAGAGAAGATTTCGGCCAATTCAGAAGCATTCGATAAACAATACCAATACGACCCTGAGGATTCTTGCCCCTGTCATCACAACTGCAGCGACTGTAAAGAGATGATAGAAGGACAGATCGAGCTGCTCTACCGAGAAAGATCCAAATACAATACCGAGTGCGAAACCACGATGGAAGAATACAAAGAGCTCAATGACAGATACAAGGCTCTAATCCTTCGGGCTACCAACTCTTCAAGGTTTGATATTTCTCGTGGTCCGAACGATAATATCTACGATCAATACGATGATTACTTTCATCTCAGAGTTGAACCAGATGAAGTTCTCGTGGAGGAATACGAACACCTCCTTCCTCACCAAGACGAAAATTCGAATACACCTCGCGATCGATGTGGTTCGTGTTCTTACTGTGCTCTCGCGCTGAAACTCATCAATTTTACCAAAGTCAACCGCATTTTTCCCATATTATTCGACTTCAAGCAAGAATACAGCGATTTATTCGAGGAGTATTCAAATTTCAAAAATAGAATACTAGGAGATTGTTAGAAGCTGGTCTTCGCGCGGATGTTTGGTTTTCTTTCTAGTTTCCTTTGTTGATATCTAGGAGTTGGGCAATCATGAATTAATTTAAGATTTATAAAATAATTAGATGCTTATATGAACAGCAACCTTGTGAAATGAAATGAAAGTGAATGTATTCAGAAGAATATTGCCATGTAATTTGAGGTCGCGAAAATGCTAGCCATTCTGAGGTATCAGAGTCTATGTGGCTCCACATGGCTCTCCTGTACAGCTTTGGACGGCAGTGGCAATGACTCATTTACGCAACTAACGTATCATATAGGCGTCTTGTATCTTCGCCGCAGAAATCGAAGTAACGAAGACTTTCTTTTCTTCATAAGCGCGCTGGATGCATCTATGAGTCGAACTGCCTACGATATATTATAGAGTTGATCCCGAGTAGCAGTTGGGTTTATATGAATACATTGGATAGATGCTTGTTTCAGGGGCGCATCAAGCAGGATCAACGCATACACAATTGAAAGGTGCCGCAGAATTCTTCTGGCTGGTATTCCACACGCCAATCTAGTATTTTCTTGAGCATCTGTCGATAGATGGCAGGTAAAAAATGTTGCTTGATAGAATATGAGAAAGAGTGTGAGGTCTCGGCTGCAGTGTTAATTAGCGTCAGAGATACAGGTCAGACAAAGAATTGTGATAGAGATAAAGAATTGTGCCTCTCTAACAAAGAACTTGGACCTGCATTCTTCCAACCCGGGTACAACAACAAAGCAAAGCTCGAATAGTATGGAACAACATTAAATAACTCACATGCTTGCCAGATGATAGAGAAATTTGTCTTACTGAACTCAGCCGTGTAAAATTTCTTCAGGGAGTGAGCCACAAACGTCCAAGATAACAGATTCTAAACAATTGTAATTCTTAAACTATAAGATCAAGCAATATCTACCTTGTAAGCAAGATTCCATCCTCATACTCGCCATCGATCACCTATCACATCTCAAAAGTACCAATAGCACCAGTCTTAACAGAAATAATTCAGCGAATCATTTAGGTTAGACAATCAAACCCGCTAACATGGACCAGATTTTGATGATAATTGATAGAGACCTTGCTGAAGTAGTTGAGAGACTCGAGGAGATCACAGTGACTCCGGAGATCGATAGAATTATTGATCTTGTTGATAAAACCATTGCAGACATCGCGGAAATAGCCTTCGAACGCGAGGGCGAAAACACACCATCTCCAGAGGCATATCTGGATCTTGAGTCAAATGATGGATACATTTCGGATATCGTTGACAACTTGAGCATTGTCACTTCCGGTGCGGAGATCACACCAACTGCGGTATCTGAATTTAACAAGGACCAATTGGATCACCAATCCGATAGCAATTGCAGTCTACTTGACTGCTACAATAACCACCATGGATACAACTATATGTTAGAACATCAATTTGAAATCGTCCAAGTTCAACATGCTCTCCATTCTGAACTCGTTGCGCTGGATAGAGAAAACTAGAAACTTCGCGAGAAGTACGAAGCTTTGGTCCACCAAACTCCCGGCCTCTCAAGACTTTCTCTCCCGCCCAAGGTAAAGAAGGGGTGTCTTTTTGACAATTGGGAGCATTATAGTCCTGGGGGTGAAGTCTGTGAATGCGAGTACTGTTTCAACGACCTCAAAGAAGAACACTTCGATTCGCTTGAAATCATAAAAAGCACACAACAGGCTCTCAAAGACTCGAGAATGGAGCATCGCGAATTACTCGAGGAGTATGATGCTTTCAAGAAGTTCATGAGCAGGGACTCATGAGACTCAAAACTCAACCTGAAGGCTGGTCCTGATACAGGTATGTCTGCACTTCCCTCTGTCGATGTTCGCTCTTGATGTAATTGAAAAACACTAAAATACAATAAAAAATACATTTGCCCTGTAACTTGAACATGATACATACTGTGGAAACCGTGAGAATGGAAATAACAATAAACTAAAAACTTGTATGGGAAAGAGCCGGTGCGTTTATTTAGGGCATAATTATGTCTCTCCTTCCATTCTAGGAGAAATCGATGTACAGAAGCTACGTGTTTGGACAATATGAATATTTGAGCTTTCCGCCTGACCAGCTTTCAAAAATGTTACCCCCTACTAGAATTCTACCTCCAAATAAAGACCACTTTTCAAGCTCAAGCAACGAACCACAAAGAACATTATGTTCCTCTTAGAGCTTCCCAACAAGCTTCTCGGAAAGATCATGCCTTGCCTCGAGCTTGAAAGCTTCACGAAACCCCACACCTAACGGACAGTTTTCTAAATCAACGATTAGTGATTCCCGATGAATTCTATGTCTGTAGAACCTCTTCAATGATTCCGAACGAGGAGAAAAAAAAACGAGAGAAGGCTTAGCATATTGTACCTACTTATTAGTAATTTAGAAGCGAACACGTAAGAAGTCCGGAGAGGATGATCACGTGACTGTATTTAGGCGCTGCGCTTAACTAGGCTTATATATTTCCAAACATCACAAAATCTTCTCTATAATTTTGAAGCCTTATTATAAATTATAAAATGTCGCTTCTCAATCTACCTATCGAAATCTTTGATAAAGTCGTATTGCTTGTATTGCCCGAAGGATTTGAGAGTCTGGCTTTTGCCTGCCGAGAAACTCACGCATTGTGCACACCTTTCCTCAAATGTCACAATCAACTTCGGTCACAATTCCATAGACTATCATTAGGACCATCATCATCGATCAAGACATTGCTGGATCTCATTCTACGAATCGATAGCGAGCCTATAATTGCCCGTTATATCATACACGCAGACTTTGGCGTTGACAGATATCATTCTTATATTCAGGATTTTTACCATAGACATCATGGACCTCTGAAAAAGCTACTCGCTAATTCTCCTTATTTAAAGAAAGCAGGATTGGACTGGAAGGAATATCACGATCATATTAAAAGGGATCTGAGAAGGAACCGGCACTCTAGGAACTATTCACAACATGTCACTGCTTTTGTCTTGACAATGTTACCCAACGTCAAGACTCTCGTACTATCTCCTTGGCAGCCGCTCGAGGCCCCCAAAAGGCTTCTTGAGGCTATTATTGCCGAAAGCAAGCTGTCGACGTTCCCATGTGAGGATCCCAGTCTCGCTCAACTTACTAAGATCAAGATATCGACCTACACTAGACTCAAGTTTGACTGGTGGAAAGACTTTCCGTTGTTAGCACTGCCAAATTTGAGGTCATATCGGGGCCCTAACTTCGTAGCAAGAGGGGACTTATCCATTACACACCCTTCCAAACCAATTCCGGAATTTCGTTGTGGTCAGAAACTCGAAACAGTCTATCTTAAAAACTGCTGTATCAGTGACGTAGCCATTGCCAATCTCCTCAAACATGCCCCACATCTTAGGAGTTTTAAATATACCCATTCGCCTGATAAGGAAAGCGATGATGAGGTCTGGAATATTTTCAAATTCATCGCAGCAATCGAAGGCGAGGCAGGAAGTTATCTTGAGGAACTTTCTATCAAAATTTGCGCGTCACCGTCCACTGAGGATACCTCTCTCAAAGACAGACCGATAGTTTCAATCGCCCCGAACGAGGTGTTCATGCGTGGCTTTGAGTGTCTCCGAAAGCTTGAATTGCCTTTGGAAATTGCGATCTGTGATCATGCCAATGCCGCATTTCGAGCTACAAATTCAGCACGCATTTTAGCGGACCAAGGACCCAGAAACTTTGAGATATTCATCAATGAGCTTTTACCTGCTTCTGTTTCCTATCTATCGCTGTCATCAGGTGGAATAGACGTAGATGCAAGAAGTAGTATCGTGAAGGCCATTGGAAATCATTTTGTTACAGAACAATCTCGGTTCCCTCCCACCAAAGAAATTCAACTTCTGTTGCCAGGGGATAATAGTGCGATCTATTTGTACAAAGAAAATCATTCAGTGGCAGTTGAAGAAGTTGACAAGTTTGACGTCATTTCGAACTCCACATCATGTGGTTTCTCTCTTGTCTATTTCATTTACTGATTATACTAGGATGGCAGATGTTCGAAACTATGTTAAGTCGAACTAGAGGTGTGTGGTTATAAAGCAAAGTCATGAGTCAAAAACCATTCATTCCTCTAACACCGAACGATATATGACTCACGAGTCAATGCTGCTCGCGTTGTCCCATTTTCCCAATTCTTTGACCAAATCGTCGGTTTCAGCCAGCCTAGCGTAGGAACCATCCAAGATCCCCATCGCTACTTTATGCACCTCCTCCGCTCCTATCTTCTCTTTCCTAAAGTAATCAAATCCAAAAGACGCACACGCATCTACGACAACCACCAAGTTTAATCCTAAATCCTTCGCACCTCTCACGGTGCTGTTGATGCATTTTGCACTTTCCATGCCAATCACTACAATCTCTCTGTCTCTACAGTCAAATTCTGGAAGACTTTCCTTCAATTTACTAGATGCAAATGCACTTCCAGTGTTCTTGATAAAGACAGGCTCATGAAGTAAAGGAACGGCGCAAGCATGTGGTGCGATGAAGCTAGCGTTGGCCTCAATCGGGTACAGTTCATCGCTGGGATCAGGCGAGTGGTGATGAACATGAAGTACTGGGAAGGATCGTTTGCGGAAGGCACTGATGAGTGTGGTCACATTTGAAGTGAGATTGGGGGTAGAGCGCGGACCCCAAGAAGATGGCGGATCGACCAAAATTTGATGGAGGTCGACGACAAGGAGAAGGGGAGGTTTTGTGGGCGTAAAGACCATATTTGCTTTTGTTGATTAGAATTTGCTATTATTCCAGTTGGAAATGTTATTTCGTCAGAAAATGATGATAGGAAAGCTGCGTCGGGTGAGTCAGACATGCCGATATTCACAAGAATGAGTCATAGTCACGTGGATTTGTCGTGGAATCTTTAGGGGCAGATTAATTTTAGGGTCACGTAGATATCAAAAGTTTATTAAAAATAAAATGGCAAGAGTGTTGGCAGCTTCCTGCATTTGCAGCTTAGAATGATACCAGCGATTGTGAGATAATATCAAAGACTTGAACTCTTTAATGCTCAAGAGCACGCCGTCTGATTGTGAGTGACTGGGAGATTTACCATGAAGAACTCACTTTCATAGATTGTGATTTGACAGAAAGGAGAAGCTTCTATAGTATATTCATGAAAATCGCAGGAGGATCTCTTTCAGTTTCAAGCTTTACATAACTAAATAGCATGAATCGAGCACCAATATTTGGAGATTCAGATTGCCTTCCTTGATACCGCGCCTGTATAGTGACGACAACGTGAATTCTTTGGTGATGTGTGGAACATGTGAGCATTTTCATGTCAATTTATGTGGTTCTCCAGTCGGAATCGTGCACAGTTCAGGAATCTTGATAGTTTATGGTCTTAACATTGGAAATATTACTGGAGGCCACACCGCGCTCAAAGAAAGCTCGCGATCATTCAGATGAGTTTAACTTCGGCTTATTGAGATCAACATTCATCTGTGTCACAAGAAAATCTTAAATGTTATTATCCCATGGGGTTTGGATAAAACAAACTTTCACATCACAAATTGTGACCCTCGACGGGCAGAAACCGGCAATATGATCACAGTTGCTGCAGGATGCAACCTTTTGTACTTTGTAACTTGACGCATTCCATTGGATATTTTGCAGCTTTTTCAAACTTCCATTCATCACTATAAAGCCCAATACAGCTATAACTCACCTCGCCTTCATCTCCAAAGTCCACAATAACCTCATTCACTCTCCCTCGCTTCATTTCCCCCACTCAAAAATTCAACCCTTCGCTTCAAGGTTACCACACAACAAGAACCAAGAGAGGGCAAAAACAAGCACTTCTCTCACAATCATTAATAAATGACAGTGATACTTTCCAAGCCAAGACACAAAAAGAAAGCAGGCAGAAATGGCAAAACCTTGCCACCCCATGAGAGGGGCGGGAGGAGAAACCCCGCGACGGGATTTTTTTCCGATTCGAACCAGGCGTATCACCACTCCACCACCAGACCGCATTTGACCTGAACAAACAGGACTGTTTGTCGCCTTTGCGATCTGGATGGGGAAGCTTCAGTTATCGCGGTATATATAGTCGATTACGGTTATCGCATTTGATAAGGTGATGAATGAACTTTGCGAGATTGCTGGGTGGTCGATGTTGAGGTTGTATTAAGGTTTGGAGGAACTATAAACATTTCAGGATTGATGAGCCGTACTAAGGCTTTGAAATAATGGGTTTGTCTTCTTTTCACTATGATTATGCCATTATAAGAGAATTATTCTTGCAAGGTGGACATTAAAGTTCAAAGGCGCAATTTCTGTTGGTAACGTCTTTTCATTCTTTGTTACATAAACCCAATCATTCACTAAAACAAATAACACATCACAAGCCCCATCTTATCAACATCGGTTTCCGATATCTTCCTCACTCTCGAAGCCCAAGCAGTTATGTTTTCAACTTCATCATGAAACAGTATAAACACCACTTGCGCTAGCGGTTGGTGCAGCAGGGAGCGTTTGCGTAACTGAGATTGCACCACTGTAGAGAGCAGGACCAGGAACAGTATAAGTCGAAAGAGATCCATAAATACTGAACTGTATACCCGGATCGGTAGGAGTGTAAAAGCTAGTCGCGGGTACACCGGCTGGTTTTGTTGTTCCAGTACCCTTGATTGCAAGATTGACACACTGTGGATAATTTTGAGCGCCATTCGTAGAGCTAGCAGAATGGAGCGCGATGATTTCGTGGCGGAGAACATAGTTTCCAGTCGCGATATTTGAGGGGATCGTGACAGTCCAGCTATTATTATTGGCAATCAATACATCAGTGCCCCATAAACCACTGGTCTCTGCCGTTGGACTGATCAATCCAACTTGATCGATCTTGAACCATTTCAGTGTTGTTTTGTCGACAGTCTCGCATGGACCATTGCAGTTGGCCAGGTAATCGATGACCGGACCCTTATGAGATACGGGCCATGGTGTCCATTGAAGTTCAACCTTTCCACCTGCCTTAACGGGAGCCTCGATTTGGGCTGGTGTTGCGCCAACGTGGCAGATAATATCGGAAGACGTGTACGCAGCTGGAGAGACGAAACCGTTGTCGAGGTCTTTAGGTATCAGCCAGCCAACGGTTACGGGGGCGGGTGAGGTATATTGATAGCTTGGATTGTATCCATCGTAGCTTGATATTGTTAGCTCAGTTTCTGGAGAGACGTATCATGTTTAAAGAGGGAAAATCTTACTAAATTCCATCCGCGACGATTCCAGAGACTGTGCCATGAGCCTGTACGGCAGAGACGAGTATTAAAGCTGTGAGTTGCTTGAAAAACATGGTCACTGTCTTGATGGAATAGACTTTGGTGGTTGTATACTCGGACTGTATTTAGGGATTTGGTGACCAATTTATACTTCGACTGCCAAGCATCGATATCTCCTCCCTTTCCTGGTTGATAGAAGCGAACACGGCAGTTCAGTCTTACAAATGTACAAATGAAACTATAACGATGACAGAAACATTAGCAATCAAGCTTCTAGTCACAGGAGCAAATAACTCGTCTTATGATCGATGCTGAAAGCCTCAATATGAAGCAGATCGACTCTATATTAATATATTAAGTATTAGTCGTCAAATAAACTCCGCCTATGGGGTTGCAAATCTTCAGCGACCCTCCTTAAATCTTGCCTTGAAACGCCCCACATACGGTGTTCCTTCGGCAGTGTTGCCACATACCCCGGATTTTCATTTAACGAATTTCAATTTCCCGGCGAGCCGTCGGGAAGTGTATAATCACATTTTATCCGAAACCTGGGTTATGCAGGGGTGCGGGTAAAAGGGAGCATGCACGTTTGGGCGATGATGATATCTCATGATTTTTGATATGACAACGAATGGAAAGGCGAAGAACAGCATGTGTCAACTATATTGGAGCAAAAAGACGTATATGGTAACAAATCTCTGAGGGAAAGTTTTGCTGATGTAGGAACAATTTTCCGAAATGCTTTGCAACGCTTTCGATTGATTTCATTTGGCACCAGGTGTGAAATACTCTTACAAAGCCTTTGCCATCTTTCAAACTTAGTATGCTAGAACAGCGAGGGGTTGCGAGTCACTGAATTATTGAAAATGCACCTTCTCCGAAGTCAGATGCACCTCCAAATATGGAACAATCAATCATCATTGGAGGACAACACTTTGATTTGTCCGCTCAATTTTAATGAACACTAACATTTGATTGAATTTGTTGTGATGTTTTAACGATGCTCGCTACTCAAGCTCAGATATGAACAAGCTTCATAGAGCAATATCAGAGTTTGAAGCATCCATGGAATTTTATTGAAACCCAACGTTAGAAAGATTCACAAATCACTGCAATAGTAAAATACCCCATGAAAAGGTGAGGGTGCGAGCTCCTTCGTCAGTCCCAAGTATTGCAATAAATTTCAGTAAAATCTCAAGCCTGTTTGTCAGGTAGGGGAGTAACACAAGTCACCAGTCAGTTTGGATGAATCTGATCGAAGCAGTGAGATATCTGGAATTAGATCGGGATATCTTCCACATATGTGACCATGAGATTGGGTGCGATATGAACGTATCTACTGCCCAGTAGTAAAAGTTGTCATGGCTCGAAGTCTAAGATTCTGTTGCTGTGTCTAAAAGTCCGGCCACAGACTTTGTGTTGTAAGAGAAAACACCAATACTAAGACTATTCCAGATATTGAGATGGTCATTGATTCAAACAATCTATCTGTCGAAACGGTTTGATTATTATCATTTTTAAGTAAGGTATCAAGAATGATTGTAGTCTAGACTACTAAATACTCAACTCTTTAAGTTGATAATCTGATTGAAAAATAAGAAATACATGCATAGAAATAAAGTGCAAATGTAAAATTGATGCTGGCTTAACTCAAATGAACCGGGACCAGGAGTTTGACTGAGACAGGCTTTGTGGTAACATATACTAGCCCTCAACCTCAACTTCAACTCGAAATCTAACATATGCTTTCATTTTCAAGAACGCTTTCTATTTATGTTTCTTCGCCGAGTCGGTATGAGTCTGTAGCAAAGGTTCCTAGTCGCTTCCTACAGAAGCAAGTGCTTTTCAAATTGCAATGGACAAGGTTCAGCGGTAAGGATACTGCATAAATCTACACAACTTAACTTCACGCATATTCACATGGAAAACTTTCCCAGGTGGTTGAAACAGATTGAAGTCTTGATTCGCTGATGGTCCAGCTTTTCGTGAAAGTTTTAGCATCTCGCGCATTATGTTTCAAGGGCTGGTAGACTGGTCTGTTCCTAGCCTATAAAACTACAAGAGCAGAAAGCTCACAAACATGCTTGGGTTGAACGTGTCGAAATTAGTGAACAAATTGGACAGACTCAGATTGCCGGTGCCAGGCTGTGCACCACATGCTGAGCAATAGTAGGAGAGAAGATAGCAGAACTTCCCACTCCCGCTCTCGGCATTGGATAACTTCAGACATTACAATGGTAACTTCATCAAATTCTCCAAGACCATCTCACTCACCAGAGTCTTCCAAAATAACTTCATGCACTTATGAAATGCCGTTGAAGTGGATATAAAGTTGTCGTTCAGCTCCACGGCGAGATGGATCAAAAGCGTAGCTATGTCAGCCTCAGGCCAACAGATAGCTTAACCAGCCGACACCTCTCCTTGAACTGACGCAGCTTCAAGCCCCTCTACATTAACAACTCGTACACCTTTTCCCATATTTACAAACGCAAATTGTTCAATATGCCCGTAAGTATTTGATACAATTCTATGTTTCAATTCTTTCAATTGAAAAATAATATCGAGATAAACATTTCAGAACCGCTCTAATCTTCAAACACCTCACCCGTCATACCTTGGACAAAGCTAACACACCACCTCCCCTAGGCCTACAACAGCATATTCAACGAAGACTCCTCCACTCCTCTCCACCTAATTGGAAACTTCCCTCTCCTCCCTCTTCGCACAAAAGTCCGCGGACCCGCCTACACACTCCCTCTCGATCCCTCTCTCCCAGCACATCTCTCCCCAGAGCCCGATTCCGAATCCTACGATGCATTAGACGAAGTACTTTCGCTCTTCCGCGCCAACACATTTTTCCGCAATTTTGAAATCCAGGGGCCCCCAGATCGTCTTTTGATTTATGGAATTTTGTGGGTTAGCGAGTGTATTGGGAAAGTGAGACCAAAGATGGAGTTCAGGGAGGCGCAGAAGGAGGTTCAGAATATTGCGCTGGATAGCAATTTTGCCATTCCCGGAGAGCCAGGGTTTCCTTTGAATCAGGTGGGTTTGGTTTCCGTTTTATTTGTGTTGTTAGGTTTCTAGGTGTGGGCTTGGAATTGGAAATTGTGTATTGGGATAGGAGTCAGAATGAAGTGAGGGAAGCTAACAGGTACTCCGAAATAGATGTTCGAAGCACCCGCCTCAAGACAAGAAGCCGAAACCCTCCGACAGTATCTAGGGCAAGTGCGTCAGGAATTGGCAAGTAGATTGTTAGCACGCATTTACGATACTGAGGACAGGATGCCAAGTAAATGGTGGTTGAGCTTCACGAAGAGGAAGTTTATGGGAAAGAGTCTGTGAGGAGGTCTGTAGATATGAATATAAGCTGCTTGAAAAAAAGAAGATGACGTTGCAAGATGGGAGCATGCATTTGTTAGGGAGTTGGCGGTGTTATTATGGGCGATACAAAGATATAGTTGTGGTTACGAAACGAAGCTAGGTGGAGGTGGATGGCCAAGAGAGAAGCTGACGAAGTCCACCAATCTTCCAGACTACTTTACCAAATACAATATCGATTCTATACTTCACTAGATACGTGCAATGCAAGGAAAGCGCGATATATTAATTGCATTGGAGTCTAGCTCTATATTCCCATATTTACATCTTGTTCGCCATTTGTTTGAATATCCAAACTTCCGGGTTCCAATTTAATTTTTTTATTCGCACTCCCTTCAACATCCTCTGTAGCTCCCGTACTCGTTTTCTCTACTTCAACTACCTTTGGTCTTTTCGAAAACTTCCCCCTGGCGGATACTTTTCCCTCCGCGGGAACAACTCTCGTTCCCGTAAACAGATATCCCTCAGCACCACCCTTGCTCGTCATCAAAGGATGAGTTCTTCCTGGCAGAACTTGCCACTCGCGTTTTCTGCAGCTCTGTACCGATGTATTCAAGATAAGCGAGGGATTGAGAGGGAAATCTTCATTTCCTTGCCATGTGGCTATTTCGGCTTGTGACAGCCCCTTTAACTCTTCTGGGGGTGATTGAATGAATGCTGTTCTTCTGCTCGTGCTGTAAAGATCTGCAAGGGCGACTAGGGGTTCAATAGTGGGGGAATATATGGTGATGGTAGCACTGGGTCGTAGAAGGTGAATAGTGCGGCGGATGATAGATATAGGGTCCATGTTGGAAGCTACTACTAACCCGGTGAAGTCGCCATGTTGTGTAGTCGATACTATATGTCTAATTCTCTCCCAGCGACGCTTCTTTCGAAAATGGGTCCCTCTCTTGCCCGAACTCCATTTTGATAGTTCTTCTGGAGTTGCTGAAGGAGGTGGAGATGAATACAAGCTATCGCTTTCTGGCGAGATGAGTTGAAGCCAGGATATAGGTAGGAGTCGTCTAGTCAGAGGGTGCGATGCTGCAGGACTATCAATATTGAAATTGAAGTATTTCAGGAGTGAAAGATTTGGTTGAGAGTTGGTGTGTATTAGAGTCAAGGTATTGGTACTGGCATAAGGTCGATATTGACGATCGTGCTGGTGTCGAGGAGCTGGTTCTTTATCAGCTTGGGCTTCTTCTGACGCTCCTGTGAATTCCGTGGGTAAATCTTGATCTTCTTCTGGGTACAGTAGGCCCATTCTCTCGGCCATAGCTGCAACCAGTAAACCACCAGTCTCATCCACAACTAATAGTCGCCCGCCACCACTTGTATTGAGAGGGTCGTCGGTATGCTCGCTTTCTGGATCCTCGGAGAAATGTACATTTGCCCAGCTTCCAGCCAAAGCGAGCATTTCATCTCTGCATTCCATGATCTTGCTAGCATCTTTCTCTTTCATCATCCAGTAATCCATCATTGCCACATCCATTGGTAGAATTGTGAATTGCCGCAGGTATTTTCTAGTTTTCAGCAGCTTATATTTTGCTAACGAGAAAGAAGTCTTTTCGTCGAGGGCAGTGTGCGATAGCATTAGTTTGGCAATGAGATCCTTTCCTGCTGCTGCGCCGTCTCTTTTTAAGGTTTCAATTTCCTCTTGAGTTAGGGTCTGTCTGGCAGAGTCATCAATAGTTTCGCGATTCGAGCGCATAATAACTTCGCCATTTTCTCCAACAAGTTCAAATTCGACCCCATCCCCTCCAATTATTACATTTTCATCTGGAACTGGATTCGCTGCTGCATTTTCTTCTGCTATTGTGTCGGCATGGATCTCGGAAGCAGGTACAATCCTCAAATCCGAGTATTTTTGATCCTTTTGTCGGTCGATAAGTTCGTACTTGAGGTTATAGGGACGGTCAATTATGAGATTGCTCGGAAATGTACCATATTTTCCCAGTGAGATTGGACTGGTGCAATTATCAGCAAGGAGCTTCCGTCAAAATTCGAGAAAACTGTAGATAGAAGAAAATTCTCCGCCAACGCTATCAAAACTCACTCACGTATTTGGAACAACTTGTAAGACTTTGAGGTTGTCTGAAGGTAGTCTTAGTGCTACCCAAGCATTTGCTTTAACCAAGTTGTGCATATTCTGAATAGTAAGAACACTCTCTTAATCGGAGGTATTCAAAGGTATATGCAATTGAGTACCGATTGTTATCGTTGTCTATCAATCGATATTCATTTATTTTCTGAGCATAAATGATTCTGGTAGCCTTGCGTTTAGTTAATTTTTTCTTCTCCATAAGATTCCATACCATTGGCCAAACCTTTTGCCAGATACTTCAGCCTTCCATGTGTGGCAATGCTCAGCCACATATTGAGCCACACTGAACTACCCCGGCCCCCCGGCCGGCCAAGTTTGACCTCAACCTTAGGAAAGCTCTAAGACGCGCAAGCAATCCCTTTTGATAAATACTAAGCAAATTGAATGCTCACTGTCACCAATATATTCTTCTGTGTCAACTATCTTTACTTCAACTTTTGTGAGAAAGAAACACCAAGTTTGTCGCAATTGCTTTAACACCATCAATTCCCCAGCCGCATACGATACATTCCACATCAAAAGCGCAGATACGGATACGATACCCACACATCTTACTAGGTACTTATCGATACCATCGATAGTCTTTCAAGGAAATCGACCTTTTGAAGCTCTATTTAAAACATACGAGTGGTTTCTACTTTCAACCCCTTTGAGAGGAGCTCGATTGTGTCCTCTTACAAATCTAAAAGCTTTCTGAGACAAATTTAAAAGCAGAGTTGTGGTTGCATTCTGTTATCGTCTTGCTTTGAATTGGTTATGACCTCATGGTTCGCTGATACCGATATTTGAGGAATTCAAAATATCAATTTTACCCCAGATATTCAATCGACAGGAACGAAACTTCACCCCGCTCTAAATAATACTTCTTGCTATCGGAGAACTATCACTCACGATGGTCACCCGAAAGCCCGTTCCCCAATCCAGCATCCCTTCCAACAACACCTCCTCGCCGCCATACCCCATTACCCCAGTATCTTCGGATCCACATCATATCCCCCGCCCCGAAAGGAATCACAATGTGATTTATGATCATCCTGCAAATAACATAGAGCCTAATGTTTGGAATGAAGAGGAACATTCTCATCCCGATCCCAAAAGCCTTCCCGACGCTTTAAGAGTTGGGCCATCGACAATCCCTCCCAAGCCTTCTCAGGATATGCTAAAACCCAATTCCTCAATCACGAACCCATTTTTAAGAAGGCAGCAATCACAAAGTTCGCAAAGTGCAGTATCCGATGGAAAGGAAAGTAGTGCAGATATCTGGAATGAGCTCACAGAGAAACCCACACAGCCGGATTATCCACCACCACCTCCTCCTCCAATATCTCAAGGTTTGTCAGCACCCATCTAACCTGACTTTGTACTAATCTTCTTTATAGTAACTCAACAATTTTCGAACTTGGGAGTTTCTGGGCAAGACACAAACCCTTGGCAACCCATCACGAACGAAAAGCTGCCATTACAAACATCCAGCCTTCAACGCGAAGATTCAGGAAACGAAGCCTGGTCAGGCGCAAATCCCGCAAACATCGTTACCTCTTCCGGCTTATCCCAAAATTCGCAACAATCAGTTTTGGTAGATATTGATGAGCCTGGATCTCCAGCATGGGATGAGGATGATTATGACGATGGTGAAGAGGAAGAAGGAACGCCAGTTAGCCCCAGGAAGTCGACATTACCTACGCACGAAACGCAGGAGATACTAGAAGACCAACATGCATGGGACTCTACTCATGGCCAAAGTTCGAATCAGTCACAAACGATTGCAGTTCAGTCCTCTGGGAACGCACAATATTCCAACCCTCCTGCGGAAGGGTGGAATTTAATTGATCATGATACCATACCAGAGAATGTTCAGCAAAGTGGAGTAGTCGGTGCAGATGGCACCGAGATTTCTAGAATACCCTCTGAGGAAATTGCTCCAGCGCTTCCACCGCGCAACTCTCAAGAACATCCTCCTCCCCAGCCTCCGCGCCCAGTCTTAGATGCGGCAAACACAAGTACAATACCGATTACGACACCTGGTGCGTCAACAGCTGCTCTAAGACAGAAGAAAGAGACGTACGAGATTAAGAAAATATCTTGGCATGACATCAATGCCCAACATAACCCCAGAATTTCACCTATTCTGGTACAAAATGCCAATGGACCTTGTCCTCTATTGGCTCTTGTGAATGCTCTGACTTTATCGACACCCGCAAATGTGGAAACTGCTCTGGTGGAGACACTCCGGTCGCGAGAGCAGGTCAGTCTTGGATTATTGCTCGATGCAGTTTTTGATGAACTCATGTCCGGGCGACGTGGAGATGCTGCACAAGAGCTTCCAGACGTGGGCGATCTATATTCCTTTCTGCTAACACTCCATACGGGAATGAACGTTAACCCCCTCTTCTTTCCCGTTGACTCTACTCAGTCAGCGAATGACCCCAGAAACTCAATGCCACACATTCATCCTGCGCAGCGTGAGAGTTCGGTTCCAGGTACATTTGAGGAAACTCGTGAAATGAAATTATATGGTACCTTCTCTGTGCCTTTGATTCATGGTTGGCTCCCCGAGGAAGAATCGCCTGCTTACATGGCACTCAAAAGATCCGCTAAATCGTATGAAGACGCACAAAACCTGATGTTTCATGAAGAGGTATTAGAAGAGAAGTTAGTTGCTGAAGGTCTCAGTTTCGAGGAACAAGGGATCCTAGAGGATATTTCAACTATCAAAGCTTTTTTCATCTCCGCAGCAACTCAGCTTACAGCTCACGGCTTGGATCTCATAACTAAGTCTATGAGTCCAGGTGCTGTAGCCATTCTATTTCGAAATGACCACTTTTCCACAATCTTCAAACATCCGACAACTCTTCAACTATTGCAACTCGTGACAGATTCA